CGTGCACGGAGTTACTGGAAGTTTTACAGAATCCAATACACACCCTGCACCTTGTACCCGCACCTGAGTGAACCTGGACAGAAAATACTCCCTGGTCTCTTAACTAATCTCCACTGTGCTTAAATTTTAACTTGCTATTTTGCAATACATACGACCTTCAATTTGATTGTTTTTTATCCATGGTTTTAATCTTAATGATATTTATATTTTAAATAATTCTTAATGCATAGAAAATGTTTTAAAATAGTATTAGGAATTCCAGATCAGATCCCACCTAAGTTTCCTAGTATTTCCTAAAACCAAGAAAATTCTACAACTAAAAATAGAGCATTAATGGTGGCATAAAAGAACTATTGGACTACATACTTTATTAAAACCATGAGAGATATCCTCAAAATACCCTTTATATAGGGGTATCACACATGTGATGCTCTTGCCATTGAATAGTATCTGAATAGCTATCTATTTTCAGGATACATACTTAGTTTTTGAGATTATAACATAGTACATCATTTCCTCCTTCCCTTTCCCCTTCAAACTTCCCACATATCCTTCCTGTTATCTCCACTTTTTTTAACAACAACAAAAATTATTTAAAGAACTTCTCTCTCAAAAAACAGAAAATGAAAGTAATACTCTATGACATGGAGAAAAAGAACTGGGGAATCTGTTAGTTTTCTTGGTGTGCCATACGAGTTACCATAGGCTTGCTGGCTTAACCATCAGAACTTATTTTCTCACAATTCCAGAGACCATGAATTAGAAATGGACAGGGGGAGGGATTAGTTCCTTCCGATCTACAGGTCCCAGATGTCTTCAACCTACATCTACAGGGAGCCTTCTCCCCCTCTCTCTCTAGGTATCCATCCCTCAAGTCTTTTCCTCTTAGAGGAGCACAGGTCTGATTAATTATAATTAACACAAATGAACTCTCTTTTTGGTTAAAAGATGACCCCAAATATTTGACATGGTGAGTCATTGGAGCTGTCCATATAATATCTAACTCTCTTGGCTGATATTCAGTGTTCTAATTTGCTTCTCAGTTGCTGTGACAAAACACTGACCAATGGCTGACAGTTGGGGCAGACTGAGAAGCCAGTGGTGGTGGCTTGTCTCTACTGCATGTACTGACTTTTTGGGATCCTAGTCTAATTGGATGCATACCTTCCTAGGCCTGGATGGGGGGGGCTTAGACTTCCCACAGGGCAGGGTGCCCTGCCCTCTCTTAGGACTGGAGGAGGAGTGGGGGAGTGGGAGGGAGGTGGGAGGAGGAGGAGGAAGTGGAAGTTTTGAATGGTATTATGTATAAAGCAATAAAAAATAAAAATAAATAAATAAAATAGTCTGCAGAAAAAAATAGAAATGAGATTAATAAAAAAAAGGACATTAAATTTAAAAAAAAAAACATTGACCAAAAACAACTTGGAGAGATAATTTGTCTTGTGGTTATAGCCTGTGGTGGTTTGAATAGGAATGGCCCCATAGACTCATGTGTTTGAATGCTTGGCCCATAGGGAGTGGCATTATTAGGGAATGTGGCCTTTTGCAGTAGGTGTGGCCTTATTGGGGGAAGTGTGTCACTGTAGAGGTGGGCTTGGAAGTCTTACATGTACTCAAGCTATGCCTGATGTAGCACACAGTCTCCTGCTGCTGCTGGATCAAAATGTAGAACTCCCAGCTCCTTCTCCAGCACCATGTCTGCATGCATGCTGGCATGCTTCTGGCACTATGAAAATAATGGACTAAATCTCTGAAAATGTAGGCCAGGCCCAATTAAATATTTTTCTTTATAAGGGTTGCTGTGGCCATGGTGTCTCTTCACAGCAATAGAAACTCTAAGACACCATCCTCCATCTTTCAACTTTAACCTTGCAAATTCTTGTTGATGAGTCTTTGTTCACACTCTTCTCTCGGTGTGGTTCAGGCCAGTGGTTCTCAACTTTCCTAATGCTGTGGTCCTTTAATACAGTTTTTCATATTGTGATAACCCCCAACCAGATGATTTCCATTGCTACGTAATGACTGCAATTTTGTTACTGCTATGAATCGTAATTTAAATACTTGTGCTTTCCGATGGTCTTAGGCAACCCCTGTGAAAGGGTTGTTCTACTCTCCAAAGGGGTCATGACCCACAGGTTGAGAACCACTGCCATAGACCCTTCACTTCTGGGCATGGTATAACCTGTGCAGTCTTCAGTATCCAATCTAGGTTGCTTCTCTACCTGGATAATTTCCAAAAATTCCTCCCCCCCATTCTTCATGTTTCTCTCCATAGAGGTAAAGACAACATAGTCTGTTCTTCACGGCCCAAGAGGCCCTCCTCAGACTACTATCCTGTTCTCACCTGACCACCTGGTGTTTTTCTCTTTGAAACATGAGTTGAATATGAATCCCACTCCTCTTGAATTCTCTTGTAGAGTACATTCAAGAAAACTTTGCTGAATAATCTTTCATAGTCATTCTGGCTCAGCAGCCGTCAAGAGTTCCTTCTCTTGGCTCAGTTCTAACCTCAGCGTGCTTGGCCCATGACTCACAAATTCCTGAACAAAGCAGTGAATTGACAGAGCTAGGAAGCTCTGTCCACACATGGGATTTCCCGAGGAGTTCAGAATCTCCCTTTAAAACCCCTTTCCCCATGCATTTCCACCACAGATACCTCGGCAGACAAAGAATAACAGAGATAACAATGCACAGCTATGCCAAGATAAGCCAGAATATTTCCCAAAGGAACCTGCCCCAACGATCTGCAAAAGAAAGCATGAATAATATTCAGCTCACAAGGTTGGTGAATTCAAACTCAGCATGCAAATTTTCAGAGCAGACATTAGACTGCTTGGGCTTGGATTAAAAGGACACATGAAAGTCTCTAGGACTGGATCAAAATTCCAGAATAGTGCCAAGAAAATTAAAGTATCTCTTGTAGCACAAGTCATCGGAAGGAAACATTACTTAATGTCACTGGGGTGACATCGTTCTGGTTCATCACTCTGACATTCAGCATTCTTACTAGTGACTTGGGTCAGTGCCTAATGTAAACATGAGGATGAACATTTTTATATTATTTAAGCAACAATGGTCAATCAAGCGAGCAGAACTTCAAGACAGTAGCAGGTGCATATACCACAAAGAGACTCAACCCATTCATAATGAAAGCCTTTGCCAACACCATGGGAGGGGACCTGGAAACGGTGCCAGAGATTTTTATAAAATACGCTGAAGCTGGTTAGAACTGCTTCCTTCCTTGTCTCTTTTTGGTGTTGTGTGGTGCTGGTGTAGCTGTAAACACTTTTCACTCTGGCCAAGGAGGAAGTTGAGTGCAGTCAACTTTAGCATAAGTTTAGGGATATTTATTGGTTGGCAGTCACATTCTGGGTGGTTCTGTTGAATTAGCCATCTTAGTGGGAATACCTTTTATAAATACCAGTGTCTTCACTATACATATCCACTCAGTTTCTTGATGCAGGAAGTCAGAAGTGTCTGAGACAGCCATGCCAGCCAAGCACAGCCATGGAGAAACAGGGCTGAAGTGGATAAAATTACAAGACAGTCTAGGTGAGATTCCTCCCATTAGCAGGGTACAGAGTTACAGAAGAGAGTTAAGACAACTTCAGTTCTCAACAAAACAAATCACCACAAAATTATGTTCTATATAGTCATTGTATTCAAGTCTCAGTTTCCATGCATGTTTTTCTGTATTTGATTTGAGCATGTTACATAGAATTCACCAAAATGTCAGTGTTTGTAAAACATATACCCGCAAGACAGAAAGCTCTGTTTGAGAAGTTACGCTCTAGTGTCTTCTCCGATACTGTAATAAAACACTGACCAAAAGCAACTTAAGGAAGGAAAGGGTTTATTTCGCCTTACAAGTGGTATAGGCCATCACTGAGAGGAGTCAGGGCAGGGACTCGAGCAGAAACTTGAAGCAGAAGCGATGGAAGAGCTCTACTTGATAGCTCAATCCAAGATACATACTTAGCTAGCCTTTTTTATGTAGCCTGGGACCAGCATAGTGCTGTTTCCAGTGGCCTGGGCCCTTCAAGGCCATATCAAGTTGACTGACAGGTAAAACCGACGATAACAAGCTCCAAGCTTCATACACCCAACTACTTATCATATTCACCAGTAAAATATAACTTAATAATTTAAATCCACACCATTATTTCATAAAAGAATTTCTTACAAACTGCAGGTTAATAAAGACTAAAGAGGAGATGAAAGACTTTGGAAGATTGTGCTGTCTGAAATAAAAGGAAGATCTTCTCACAGCTGGTGGATTCCTATTTCTATGAAGACGGGGCACATCGCACATCTATACAGAGAGGACTCATACTAGTCAGTGTGACCAACTACTATGCACAGATATGGACATCAACACTAGGAAAATTCAGGTTTGAATTGATAGCTGGCATGGGAAACACAGATCATAATAACTGGAAGACAGAAGAAGGCTGATTATAATACATATTTTTATATTAGTATGTTGAACTCTAACTACAAAGATTCTCAGTTCCTCAAAACTTATAACTATGACAGCTATTTTTTAAACAATAAAAGTTGGGTAGATATCATAAAATATTAAATAAGTTGTTCTTACTATTTTTGAATGGGAAATTACTTTAAATTACCTTATAAATTACTTTTATATGAAGCAGAAGAAATTAAGAATATGTAACCAAATCTGTACAGCCATTATAAAATTGAATATCAGTTTTCTAATTCATAAAAATAATTCCCGATACAAGCAGGCATTGGAGGTCATATTGTGACTATTATCTCCTAGCCATTTGTTCTAAGGTAGAACACGCATACACAGGGATCTGTGCTGTTCTCGCTCACAGTTGAGCCTTGTTCTCCACTTCTAGGTCATGGTTAGCCACAATGTTCAATTAATAATAGTTATAATTTAAGTGTGGCAAAAATTGTTATATTTTTACATTAAAGTATTATGATTTTTTATAACCTTAGATCTATTTGAAGTGCTTTTAAATCACAAATGGATTTCTATTGTGGTCTAGCTTATGTTACAAAGCATTCAGGTAAATTAAAAGCAGTTTTATAAGAGATGAGAGCTGAAGAAGGATCTGGAACAGTCTCTCGTGCCCACCTCTCCCTACTCCCATGGCCTTCTATTGTTCCAGAGTTGGGGAACTCAGTGAGAACATCTAGTGGGCAGTGGGCAGTGGGCAGCCAAACACACTAGTGCCCCTGTCTGTCACCTGCGATACAGAACAACCTCTCAGAACCACAGTTGCCCCATCCATGCAATACTGAAGCCCTCCCTTGTGAAGCTGGTGTGAGAGTCAAGTGAATTATTGTCTAGAAAAGGCCGTGACAGTAGCTGTCCAGAGCAGATGATATTCCATGTGTGTTTTACTTCCCACACTCTTCGCAGCTTTGCCGAATAAACTATCTTTATCACGTCTCTTTTTGCAACCTGAAGACCCACATAATGCGAGAGTATTAATAATTTCCCACACTGTAAACAGATAGAGTTTTAATCTATCGTAATAAAAATCATCGTAATAAAATAAAATAAAATAATAATAAAATAAAATATCGTAATAAAATAAAATAATCATCGTAATAAAAATAGTTAGACATTTTCACAGTTCCTGGTAAAGCAGATGCCACAGCCCACCTGAGGTCACACTTTTCAGACCTCTGCAGGCTCTAGGTGCCCGTTATCCATGCCCAGCCCTAGGGTCACCTGCACAGTGGTACAGGGAGCCAGGAAGCAATTTGTTTTAGAAAAACACAGTGTGCCAAGCCCATGAAGTATTGCTTGAGCCTAGAACATTTCAACAGATGTGCTTAAGGCAACATTTAATATGACAGGAGGAAATGGCCCTGCTTTGTGCCAAGTTCCCTCCTTCTCACAACAGGTCTCTATCCAGTTCTGGTGACTCACCTGCCTACCTTCAGGCGCCTCCTGTATCTAGAGTTCTGGAAAACGTTAGACATAAAGTGAAGAAACCACAATAGAATGAAATACTCTGAAATCAAAGTGTCACTGAAAATGGGTCATGGGTCTACCAAGTATATTGCCCTGCTTTCTGTTTCTTAATGAAATGGCCAAGGCTAGACACTTAGTAAAGAAAAGTCTCATACAGTTTACTGTTTGGAGATTGAAAGCCCAAATCTCATTGTACTGCCTAAGGGTGCTCCCAGGCTCATTGCCTAATGGTGCATGACATCATGGCAGACAGGTATGTAAGAGAGAGCTTACAGGGCGGGACAGGACACCAAGAGGCAGGCCCCACGAGAATTGTTAACCCCCCTCTGAGAGCAAATCCACAATGACCTAAAACCTTTCCACCAGTTTCCACCTCTGGAAAGTTCTTACCTCTTTTCAACAGTAGTACATGGGTAGATGGACAATAAAACTTTCCAGCATCAGTTTCTGGGAGACTCCTTCCACCTACATCCAAACCACAGCTTCATGTTTGTAGAAAAACAAGTAGTTGGATACTTTCAGGACAAAGATAAGGAAAGTCGAGGTTGTAATTATAGCAAAAAGTAGTTATGAAGTATTTTCTCCCTCGTTCTTACATTCTGCTGTCCACTGAAATGTGCCATCTTCAAAACTAAAACAATAATAATGAATGACATGTCTAATGAAGGAAAGCTGAACCCATTACGTTTGCTCAAGGAGAAGACTTTGACAGAGCTTTGTGGCTGGATGGATGATGGGAGCTGAACTCAAAAGGCTTCAAACCTGTCTGTCAAGGCAGGAACTAACTGGAGCTGGGCATAGCGCTGACCTCATACCCTCGGTTCGGTGGACAACAGAAAAAAGAGTCTCGACAGGAAGACTGGCAGTCTGGCTTTTGCCTGACATAAGAAGCGTTAAACTAGAAGAGTGAACTGGATGGTGAGGATAAACCAATTTACAAGAATTTCCTGAGGTCAGCAGTAAAGGTCTTCCCTGAGGTACCACTGTTTTAATGTAAGACTTTTCCTGAAACAAAACGTTGCCACGCTGACATAGACAGACAGTACCGCTCTCAGAAGTCTCCATGAAGTAGGGAATTTGTCCAGAGGTTTTGTGCCCAGAACAGTGTGAGCACACTATCCACATGGTATAGTGTGTCAAAGCCTGGGACAGATTTGTAGACATCTCGGCATCACCCCATGGGTACAGCAGGCACAGACTGGTAACTGGACTGGTCCTTTTCCTCTTCCATTCAGTTCTAAGTCACACATCCCCTGTTCTCTTAGGATCTTTTAAACTATATTCAAATACTCACTGTGCTGCTGGGGCACACAACCTTCATCTGCTGCTTAGAAGAAAGTGTATTCTGTGGTTGGGGGTGACTCAAAGAACTGGCCACCAAGAATCCTCAGTTGGTGTCCATTAATCATTATTTGTAAGTGGATGTCACATTTCTCTAGCCCCAAGACATATAGGAAGAGATGTTTATATCATTAATGATCCCCGAGAAGAAAGCCCTTGTCCTCCAGCATTTCCTCCCAGAGCAGTGATTCTCAACCTTGGTGACCCCAAACCATAAAATTATTTTTATTGCTACTTCATAACTGTACGTTTGCTACTGTTATGAATTGTAATATTACAGTCTACAGTTCCCCGTGGTCTTAGGTGACCCCTATGAAAGGATCATTCTGTTGGACCTCCAAAGGAAATGTGGCCCCCCCAGGCAGAGAACTACTGTCCTAGATCCTAGCACCTTGGTTTAAATAGAAAAGAAAAATTAGCTCTCTTCCCCCTGCTCTTCCGAAGAGGCAAGCAGGCATTTTTCTCTCGCTTCCTCTCTCTGTCTCTGTCTCGCCCTTAACTCCTCTCTGCCTTCCTCTCAATTAACTCCACACTCAAGAAAAAAAAAAGAGAGAGAGAAAAGATAAATTGTTTTCCAGGATGCGTTTTATGAGAACAAACTCCTAAGCACCTTTGGTATGTGACAGTTGCCTCAATGGCAAAGTCAGAAAAAAAATCAATGAATGAAAAAAAGGAAAGAGCTAAAGGCCCTCAGGAGAGAACCATGGGGAAGAGGCCAGAGCTTGCATGTGAGGAGCTGCAGACATGAGTGCACCGCAGGCCAGCTCTCCAAAAATTATTAAAAATTAAACAAAAGCGCAGATGTGAACCATTTGCATATTTTGTGGTCTAAATGCTTCTACTCTGACTAAACTTTTGCTACCAGCAGTTGATAAGGGCTGAGAAATTTTCCACAATTTAGCAATCAGCTCTGGCCCAAGTGAGCTGGCCCGAGCAGAGAAATGGCAGCAGCGGATGCCAAGAAGTGCTTCCTGGCCAAGAACTAAGTCCACGGTACCCCTGGGATCATGACTCTCTCCTTGGTTACCAAATGCCTGCTTTTCCTAGCATTGTCTTCTTAAAGGCCCCGTCACTACACTTTACTTTAGAGAGTTGACAGCCATACCCTGTGATTCAAGAATGATTTTCCCAGTGGGAGATCGAATCAAGTGAAGTGGATCGCTCCTGTGACAGGCACCTCTGTCCCCAAGGACAGAATTTCCTTCAGTGAACCCCAGTCACTTCTGGGAATTTAGCATTTCTGTGCAGTGAGGATCTTCTAAAACGGACACTAAAAGCTATGCTGTAAAATAAGCTAACAGCATCCCAAATGTTAGACCTACACACACACACACACACACACACACACACACACACACGAGAAAATGTTTGTCATTAGCCACTAAGAAGTAGTCCTCCAGAATTATTTTTCATGTTTCACTTGCATAAAGTGATCATGGACCCGACGTTAGGAACGAGGAAAATGGCATGACCGCTTGTTGCCTTCCTGTTGGCCTCCGCAGGCTGGATCAGACTGTTTCTCCTCTGCAGCCCCTCTTCGCTGCCTAACAGCAACAGAGCTTACCTGAAGGTAATTAATTACATTCAGCAACATCAGTGCTGTGACTGAGCAAACTTGAAATTTGAAATGAAATCTTCTTTGGCAATATTTCAGTTTGTTGAGTCAGGAACCTGACAAGTAGCTACAACCCATGAAGCAGCGTTTCCTGGGGAGAGCCTGTGAGAAGGAAGTGGGACTGAGTTAGCCTGGTGTGTGGTGCGCTCTGCTCTTCCACACCCCAGCCCACAGCCTCATTATACAAGTTTCCTCTCTACCCAATTCAAGCCCAGTTTCCAGGATTCCGATACAAAGGTCAGACTTTCCAGATGACATGCCAAGACTCATGATCAGGAGTACCTGGATTTCAACTTTCTCCGGCTATGCGAAACTGTCCTCTCAGGAAATGACAACAGCTGGTCGCAATTAGTCCATGAGCCGTGAGCAGCTTCTTTCATGATTGATAACAGCAAGTTGGGAAAGCAATTTCCAGTCACTGAAATTCCCATCTCTTCAGGCAGGAGAGCTGGCTCCCGGTGTCAGGAGAGGTTGAGAGCCAAGGGTCCCTCACCGGCTGTGACACATTGGGAGAAAGGACCCTGCACCTTGCCTGGGCAGCACACTAGAGCTGACCCTGTTGGCAGGGGTGCAAGTGAGCCTTCCCTGAGAGCACGAGAACAGGACAGGTGACCCCGCCTCCTTCATCTGCCACGTGGTGGCATGGGTGAGGGAAAGATGCCCCCACAATCCTTGCCATCTGCCGCAGGCAGGAGAGCTGGCCTTGGCAATATGAGAGAGGGTGAGCTGACCCTGAACCTTGCGTGGGCAAAACAATAGAGCCAGCCCTGGTGGTGTGGATGCCAGTGAGCCAGCCCCTAGAGTGTGAGAATGGGAAGACTGGCCCTGCTCCTTGTTGTCTGAGGGATGAGGGACCAGGGCGGTGCAGGAGAGCTCTCCCTGGTGGTGAACTGCTAAAGCACGTAAGGGGAGAAGGCCTGTAGATGTGAAACTACAGGATCTCTAGGACACAAGGCAACAACAGAATATCCAAGAGGAAACCCAGTGAGAGCCCATATCAAGGGGGAAGCAGAATCAGAGGCCACAAACCAGACCAATGACTCATTGCAATGCACACTTACAAATAAAGATGCATGGACCAAAGCAAACACTGTGGAGCTCACTGGGTCGCACTACGGCTTCCACACCAAGACTTGTTCTGCTTTTCTTTTCTTTTCTTATATATTTTATTTTAGTTTAGTTTAGTTTATTTTTGGGAGGGGTGGAAGATTACAGTATCAGAGGGCAGATATGAAGGGACAGGAAGATGAATGGGATCAGGATGTATAATGTGAAATCCACAAAGAATCAATAAAAAAGTTTTAAACAATTCCCATCTCTTAGGATATAAACCACGATAATTAGTTATGGAAGAGACTTCCCTAATACCAGACCAAACTAACCATCTTAAAGCAAATGAAAGGCAGGGTGTATTAAGTTCTTAAACCACAAAAATGGATCCATATATACATACAGGCAGACATACATACATGCATACAATGAAAATAAAAAAATACTGGCCTCTCTTTAACTCTGTGTATGGCTTTCTCATCTAGAGTTTTAAGTATTGACTATGTTATAGCTATAATCTATTTCAAAATATGTGAGAATTCTCTCAATTTATAATTGAGAAAGCTCTTACAACAGAGGAAATCTGCTTGATTCCCAACTTCTTGATGTTTTAAACTGCTCATATTAGCAAATGGCATGTACACAATTGCTTCTCTGACCTACCAGCAGGGGATCTTAGTCTCTGAGACCAGGGATTTGCCTAAGGGTCAAGGAATAGCTAGAGCTGCAGCAAAAGGAAAGTATACTGAAGCCGGAACGGCCCTGGCACTACCAGAGAATAATCCATCATCCTGTGTGCATGAACCGCATGCAAGAACTGGGGCAGAGTCACATGACAAATAATAGACAATACTTTACACAGAGTTTTACTCCTGATGAGATTCCCCTTCATTTTTTACCATAAGAAGTATTCTGTTAAAGTACAAATTGGTACTATCAGTCACTCGCCTATGTGCAAGACATTCAAAGTGGTGCACATTCTACTGTGCACAGTGTAGGACCTAAATCTCTTAATGGGGCATATGCATTGCCCTCCTAGCCTCCAAATGGGTATATATTGAGTCTCTGTAATAAACTGAAATGTTACTATAAGAAACAGTTACAGTATTTCATTGACACACAACTTCAGCCCTGTCATGGATATAAAAAAACATGTGCTGATCATACTTGCAGTTGTCATGCTTAATTATAAGCAGTCTGGATTGTTGAATGTATTTAGTGACTTTTTTAAAAAAAATCAAAATCAGCACAGCATCTTGAGTTAACAAACAAGTATTTTTATTTACTTTATCTCTGTCTGTCTGTCTGTCTGTCTGTCTGTCTCTCTCTCTCTCTCTCTCTGTGTGTGTGTGTGTGTGTGTGTGTGAGTGTGTGTGTATGTGTATGAAGATGTGTGTGCAGTTGCTGTGGAGGCCAGAAAAGGGTGTGAGATCCCCTGACCTGGAGCGACAGGTGGTTGTGAACCATCCCATGTGGGTGTTGGAAACTAAACTCTGAAAGAATAGCAGGTGCTCATTGCAGTGGCATTTTATTTGTATTTTAATAAATAAAGTGATGTGGTATTCCCCTCTATATGTTGTGAATATCATTGGTTAATAAGGGAACTGCTTTGGGCCCATAACAGAGCTATAGGGGAACAGGGTTGGGGGGGGGGGAACTAAACTGAATGCTGGGAGAAAGGAGGCAGAGTAAGGAGAAATCATGTAGCCCTACTGGAGAAAAACGCTGGAACATTAATTGGTAAGCCACAGCCATGTGGAGATCCACAGTTTAATAGAAATGGGTTAAATTAAGATGTAAGACTTAGTCAATAAGAACTTAGAGCTAATGGACCAAGCAGTGATGTAAATAATATAGTTTCCATGTGATTATTTTGGGGCTGAGCAGCCGGGAACCAACAAGCAGCTCCTCCTTCAACAATAAAGCTTTCCTGAAGATCAGAAAAGTAAAACAACCACACTGGCCAGCCTTAAAGACCAGGCAGCAATGGCACACACCTTTAATCCCAGTAGCTACACTAGCTTGCCATAGAAACATGGTGGTAGTGGTGTATGCCTTTAGTCCCTCCAGTGATGCATGCCTTTAACAATCTTAGCCCTAGAGAGGAATAGAAGATGGGAGGAGACAACTCTCAGTCTCAGTCTCATTCTGAGGTTTTCTGGAGGCAGGATATGATTTTTGGACTGAGGTAGAGGTAAGAGCCAATGGCTGGCTGCTTTGCTTTTCTAATCTTAAGGTTGAACCCCAATACCTGTCTCTGAGTTCTTATTAATTATGAATCATCTCATAAACACTTAGTCATACACCCAGGCTCACAACTGGTAAAATTTTAATTTTACATAGTAGGAAGTGGAATACAGTGGTAAGGTATGGTAATTTTACTTTTTTCTTCATCTCTCTTTTGTGCCTGCCAGAAGAAACATCCTTAGTTAGATATTATAATAAATGGATGTGACCCAACTTACCGAAAGGTTCAAGCAAAATTTTCTAAGCCAGCCAGTGCTGGTGCTATGTTAATCTTTGATTTCTGCCACAAACATTGCTACACTGCCACCGTTATCAGCAATGGCATCAGGAGCAGGCATTCCTGCCCGGAAAAGGCCAGGCTGTACAACAATTTACTGTAGCTCTCTGCTGTGCAAACTTGTAGGGAGTGATGAAATCAGAATACCATGTGCTTCAATTTACTATGTGTTTTCTCCCTGACTGGAAACATTCAGCAGAGCAAGCCCACAGCTGGGGGCTTATGTGCGACACAGCCATGTTTAATGGAATGAAATCACCGAGGAATAGTTTTGTGTTTCCAGATTGTTTTGGTTTTTTGTTTTCTTCTTCTTCTTCTTCTTCTTCTTCTTCTTCTTCTTCTTCTTCTTCTTCTTCTTCTTCTTCTTCTTCTTCTTCTTCTTCTTCT